GAAACAGATTAACAAGGGATTCTTTTGAAACTCAAGGGATAATTATTAAGGGACTTGTTTTTCCCCCTTCCACTCTATAATTCTTAACCACTCTTCCTCAAATAGTTGCTCCACTTCGTAAGAAAAAGAAAAGCCATATTTTAAATCTCTGAACAGAATGGATTAGAATAGCAGAATCAATGCCCTCTGAGTTGAAGTGCCCAGAAAGCCTGGATTTAGATAAACAACGATTTCCCCCCTCCCCTTTGGAATTGGATATTTAGATAATCGATGCTCTAGTCTGTCTTTGCATCTGGTTCTGTTAATGCTCCTTGATTGGGAAATGTGGGGTCAGAGGATGCGGAAGCGATTGGGAAGCTGAAGGAAGGGGGAAATGGGGAATGAGTGAAAAGGTCTTTAGTCGAGGCTTGTGATGTGATTACAAAAATAGGCAAGACGTGTATTTTTCACACGTAAACAGTAGCATCTTGTTGCTCATTAAGCCTATTGTCAAATCTCAGCTGGTGCTAGAACAGCATCAGCCTTGCCCATCAGCAGAAAGCAGACACAAAGAGCTCTCTGTGGCATGCTTTGGTTCCTCAAAGCGGTCGTGAAATTGTTCACAAAATACCACTTACGATCAGTTAATGATGCTATTGATTTGTGGCTTCTAGTGATTTTATTTTTGCACTATAGAAAAGTGGAGCTCATATTATGTGGTCAAAGGGATCTGAATGCATGTTGTGTTACCGGATTTGCCCGTTGCTTTGGGATACACTCATTTCCTAGGGTTACTCTTCGGTGGGGAGAGAATTTGGTATTTCTGTCCATGCACTTTTTGTGTCACCTTTGTTCTCGCATGGACTCCACTTCTCCCTTCTGGGTCTCCAAATGAAATTAACAGACAGCAAGTTTAGAACAAACAAAAGGACATTTTTCTTCTTGCAGCACGTGGTCAACCTGTGGAACTCCCTGCCAGAGGATGTTGTGAAAAAACAGGACTTTTTCGGAGTTCAAAAGAGAGCTAGATGTATTCATGGGGGTTAGGTCCATCAATACTTATTAGCCAGGATGGGTAGGAACCCATCTGTTTGTCAGAAGCTGGAAATGGATGACAAGAGAGAGATCGCCTGATGATTATCGGTTCTGTTCACTCCCTCTGGGGCACCTGGCACTGTTGGCAGGCAGGATACTGGGCTAGATGGACCTTTGGTCTGACCAAGTCTGGCCATTCTTATGTTCTGAACTTTCCATCCCAGTAGAGCGATCTTGTGGGCCCTAGGTTCCCCAAAGCTCGGCTCTTCCAGTCCTAGAAATAGATGGACATGCATGCTCATGCTCACATTTACAGAGGGTGTTTGTGAGGACCGGGTTGATCAACACCCCCCAGCTGTCTCCTTATGTGTCCCTGGACTCAGCAGACTTGGTCGAGAAGCACACGCCCAGGGTTCAGAATGTGCTTATCCACACTTTCATATTACAATGATTCTGGCAGCAACTCACTGGAGGAGCAAACCCCACCGGGATTTTGGGTACGAGGAGCGTTGCTGCAGAGCAAATAGGGAAACCACAAACACGCACGAGGGAGACACAGTAACAACCAGCTTCACCATAAAATGTATTTATTTCCAGGTAATAACTCTACAAGGAGAGCCAAACAAAGCTGTAGGGTGATTAAATCTAGCTTGCACTGGATTATAAAAGCCAGGTTTAGCAAACTCTAACTGATCACACAAGCCGGAGTTAGAAGGCTGTGCCTAGAGAGAGGGGGTGGGGTTCTCAGCACTCCATGTGGCGTGCGAGGGTGGGATCATTAACATCTGGAGCAGAGGTTACCCATCACGCAGTGTTTCCCTGCTTTTCAGTTCCCAGACTTCAGAATACTAAGGAGGAGAGGGGGTTAAAACCATTGCACTAGGACTTTGGAGATCATGCTTCCCTTTTCCACACACACTGGGCAAGTCATTGAGGCTGTGTCTACACTGGTGCGATCTTGCACAAAAGCGGCCGCTCTTGCGCAAAAACGTGCTGCCTGTCTACACTGGCCGCGTGTTCTTGCGCAAGTACATTGACGTTCTAATGTATGAAATCAGGGCTTCTTGCGCCAGAACTCTTGCGCAAGAGGCCAGTGTAGATAGGCAACATGAATTTCTTGCGCAAGAAAGCCCGATGGTTACAATGGCCATTGGAGCTTTCTTGCACAAGAGAGCATCTACACTGGCATAGATGCTCTTGCGCAAAAGCACATCTCTTGCAGAAAGGCACATGCCAGTGTAGACGCTCTCTTCTGGAAGAGTTTTTGCAGAATAACTCTTCCGCAAAAGAGTTTTTGCACAAGATCACGCCAGTGTAGACGTAGCCTGACTGTGTGTTCCTTCTTCCCCATGTCATAACATTGGGAACAACAATCCTTCCTCTCTCCCCACCTGCCTAGATAGTAACGTTTGCCTTTTGGAGAGACTGAAGTGGCTGTTTTGGGAGGTACGACAGCCAATCAGCCCAGGAGGGAGACTGTTCTGCCTCTTGCACAGTTCATATTCTGGACCCAGAGATTCCCTGTTGCAGCCGCTTCCACATATTGCGCTGCAGGTTTGGTCTCTGGTTGGCTCTTCTCAAAAGTTTCTAGCTTTTTCAAAACCCACATGGCCAGGGGGAAAGAGGTGGGGCCACACAAGCCTTGATCCCCTCCCAGATGTGGGATGTGTGTGTCTCCTTTGCACAATTCTTGGTACCATGGTGGGAAAGGGGTAACCCCCGCTGGGTTTCTCTCACTGATCTGTGATGTGGTGGTGTTGCCGAGGTTTGGGACTAATACCGTTGGATCATCAGGTGTTTAGAAGGTGTAGAATGGGGGGCTGTTTGCAGAAAGAATTGATTATAACTGAAGAGGGAAGGGCTTAGGAACAGCCCTTCTCAGCCAGGTGGACCCAGCCCATAGATCTAGGCATGGTGTGATGCTCGGGTTGGCTGGAGCAGGACCCATCACAGTAAAGGATACATAGCAGGTTTAATAGGTAGCCAGTTTAAAACAAACAAAAGGAAGTTATTCTTCACACAGCATGTAGTCAACCTGTGGAACTCCTTGCCAGAGGATGTTGTGAAGACTAGGACTATAACAGTTTAAAGAGAAGCTAGATAAGTTCATGGAGGTTAGGTCCATAAAAGGCTATTAGCCAGGGGATAGAAATGGTGTCCCTGGCCTCTGTTCATCAGAGGTTGGAGAAGGATGGAAGGAGACAAATTGCTTGATCATTGTCTTTGGTCCACCCTCTCTGGGGCACCTGGTTCTGGCCACTGTCGGCAGACAGGCTACTGGGCTAGATGGACCTTTGGTCTGACCCAGTACGGCCGTTCTTATGTTCTTATATTCATACGATAGGGTGCTTCCATGGTTTTTGTGACCAATAACCATACATCTAAGAGGCAGTGAACGGCTTCATCACCTAGTGTGTGAGGGCCAGAGGTTTGGATCCAGTGATCTAAGCCAGGCCCCTAGCCAGCGAGGAGATACATGACTGTAGGTCCCTGACTTGCTTCTCATCATTGACTGCCCATGGCTCTCCTGGCCATCCCCACTTCAGAAGTCGCTTGCAGTGCCGCTACCAAGAAGCAAGCGGCTGGAAACGTAGTTCCTGTGAACTGGATTATGCCAGCATTCACTACTCCTTTCTTTTACTGCTTTGGCCATAGGGGGTGGCAGATCCTTCTGCAGTATCACACTAGAACAATGTTCAAAGCACCTTAATTTGTAGGAGGTTCCCTTCTCTGCAAACATGCCCACAGTGAAGAGATGGAGAAAAGGCATTGGGGCAGTATTGGAAGCTCCAGCTGAGATCGGGTAGGCAGACAAAACTCGTGGCCAGTAGTTCGTTACGAATGTCTAGCTTGGGGAATCAGAAACTTGAAAAGGAAGGATTCCCATTTGTCACACGCGCATGGAGAGAGCATTGGCTGTCTATTAAATTCGGCCTTTTAAAGGATGGATATGGGACAACAGCCCCATGGGTGATAGGAGATCTTGTTTTTCTGCTCCCTGGCATCCAATGCACTAAACTCTGTCATTGAAGGCAACCTTGAAGTGCCATTCTTTTCATCTTTGTCCCCTCCCATTTTGCCGCCAATAGGTGGAGCTGCAGCAAAGCAGATCGAGTGAGTGTCGGTTATGAAGGGCTGCACTCCGAGACAGCCACTGCTGTGGCATCGGAATTGTGCATGTCGGATAAAACTGCCACACGATCGGTATCTCTCAGCAGTGCAGGTAATAGACAGGTGACAGAAAGGAAAAGGTATTTTTAAGAAAACAAATCCCAATTTTGCATATTCAGCTTCCTACAACAATTTGCACTCATTCCCTTTCTAACCTGCTGCTAGTTCACTGCAATCCCCCTTCTTCAACACATCTTACACATCTATCACATCTCAGAGGCCCTGTAAAGGTTTTACACCCATCGTTTTACCCGCCTTAACCATTGAAACCTTTAATCCTTCAAGATTTTACTGCCACTGTTGCTGCTGTTACTACTTATTCCCATCACTTGATTGTCGGGGGACATCAGTATGGCGACAGGATGTTTGTGACAAGTACCGCTATTCGATCAGCTCGTTTTACTTGCTTGAGAGATTTCAGCTAGTAAAGACGAACATCTCAATGACGATTGGAAAAGGAAATCTAAGTATGGAGTGGCATGGTAGAAGTAGCTGGCATGTTGGCGTGAGAAGGTAATTCAGGGTCAGGCTATGGTTTTCTGCTCTGTTTCAGCAGTTGTCCATCAATAGCTGCTAGGTAAGATTAATAGGAACAGACCACTTTTCTGGAATTTAGTGGACAACCCAATCTGCCTTCTGTTTCATTAGCTCTGTACCTGGTCACAGGAACAAAAACCAGGCGCTTGCAAATTCAGCAAACAGATTGTCCAAAATATACAAGGTTGTGTGTGTTTCGGCTGCAGTAGCAGACAGATCCTGAAACATTTCAAGACCTGAAACGGCTCCCTCTTTGTTTTCTCTCCTTGGTCCATAAGAATTGCAGTTTGCTGAGGCTGCATGAAGAAAAATACCAGACTCCACCTCCAGAGGGCTGATATGTTTCTCAGCTAAGGTAGAGAACTTAAAAAGATGAAGTTAAGGAAGAGAAACTGCTGGGCACCAATTCCCTCCCCCTGGTTTTGTTTCATGGCAGATCATTAAACCTTCCAGGTAAGAGAGATTTGTTACCGCGCTTTCTTCCTTTTGTCACCGAGAAATCCGTCCTAAAAATTAATGCCTGTATTTAGAAAGGCAAATCTAGCCACTCTGCCTGATAATGAGATGTGTGAAACTGTGCTCAGGAAACCATAATCTCCCTAGGAATTAATTGATGCTACAGTCAGTATCTCTCCCTGTAACAAATTGCAGGGAAGCAACTAAACTTTCTGCAGCACAACAGGAGCTGGAAAGCTATTCTCTCCCTCAGCTAGCGCTAGTTTTCAGCTGCAGGTGTGACCTCAGAGAGATAAGGGATTTCATTGGAGCATGGTTTTCATTCTGTCCTCCCTCTGTTATCTAACAGAGTTTGCTTTAATAACATTCCCATTGTTCTGGCAGATAATCATGGGCCGGCCCAGATAAGATCTCAAATTTGCTCTTTCCTGATAATAGGATCTTATCGGGAGTTCACAGCATATAGCTTTTTAACAGGATACCGCTTTAATTAAAATGACAATACACAACACTGGAGGTTAAAGTCCCCTGTCTCACTTCATCTGTAACATCAGGCTTGAAAGGGACATCGTAATAAATGGCTTTCATGTGGTACGAGAGAGAAAAGGTAACGAGAACTAGTGTGCTGATAAAGTCCTCCGCCATGTTCCGAATTTGTACACGTAGGAAACATCTCGGATGAGCTGACTGCGAAGGTCTGTAATAATCTTATTAATACCGAGTGTCTTCATCCCAGAGGATCCTAAACCAGTTACAAGCTGGGATAGAAAACTGTTTGTACAGTTATGCCTCATTGTTTGGTTGCTGGGCTCAAGGCAGGAATCGCTGGTGAATTTCTTTGGCCCGTGTCAGGCAGGACTAGATAATCCATCAGAGAGAGATGGAAATGTCAGACTGTGTCACCGAAGGGTGGGGCGTCACCTGGGCCCTGCCCCCCCTTCCACAGCCAGAGGTGACTCGGTTGGCTGGTGGAGTGGAAGGTTTATTAGTCTACAGGGTTACCATTTAGAACAGACTTGTCACCACTGAGGCCAGAAGCAGTCAGTACAATCCATCATGGGGGGAGGAGGCTCAAAGTCAAGGACCCTTCCCCCATCTCTGCCCCCCAAGCCAGCAAGACACACACACACACACACACACACACACACACACACACACACACACACACACACACACACACAAAACCTGTCTCCCCCTGCAGCCAGCCCTGCCTTTTTCATTTGCTTACACCCCCCTCCCAGGCTTAGGTTGTGGAAAGCATCAGCCTGTGTATGAGGGTAACACTCGCACCCCAATTCCCATTGCCATGTCTGTATTGGTACAGTGTCCAGGGAAACTGAGGCACGCCCATGGGGTTACTCCAGAACAGTAGAAATCACATGCAACACAAAGCGAACAGAGCAAATAATAATCCCCACTTCATCACAGGCCGGAAGGGACCATCCTGTCCCACCCCTCGTGTGAAGGCAGAACCAAGTAAACTTGGACCACCCTTGACACCTTCAACCTGTTCTTACAAACCTTCAACGCCGGCGATTCCAGTTTCCCCTGGATCCTTATTTCAGGACTTAATTGCCCTTCTAGTTAGAATATTTCCCCTAATATCTACGCTCACTCTCCCCTTGCTATAGATGAAGCCCATTAAAACTTGTCTTCCCTTGAGTAGACATGGCAAACAATCAGGCCTTTTCGTAATCGTCTTTTTTTGTTCTCATGTCCAGTCTTTTTAACCTTTCCTCAGAGGCTAGGTTTTCTGTGCTTTTGTTTTGTTGCTCCTCTCTGGACACTCTCGTATTTGTCCACGTCTTTCCTAAAGCGTGGCACCGGAATGGGCCACAGGATTCCAGATAAGGCCTCACTGATGCTTAGTGAAGTAGAACAATTGTCTCCCATGTCTACAACACTCCTGTTAATACACCCCAGAATATCTGAGGGAGTGGGGGTTAAGCAGCTTTCTCATATTATTGACTCTTCTTCAATTTCCACTTTTATTCCCCAGTTTCTTTGTCCGCACTATATCCACTGACCAGTTATTTTCCATGGTATCAGGTGTGCAGCATTCTGCATTTGGCTATATTGAATGTCATCGTGTGGATTTCAGACTAACTCACTAATTTGTCAAGCTCTCTCTGACTTCTCTTGTCCTCCAAAGTGCTTTCAACCCCTCCCAGTTTGGTGTTCTCCACGCTTTGCTCTCCACTCCGTTATCCAAGATCGTTCATGAAAATACTGGCCCTTAACCGTCTTAAAACTGATGGATTTTGTTTTATACCCATAGATTGGACTCATGGTGCAAGGACTGCACCCTCTTCTGTGTCTACACGGCATACTGTGGGTCCTGCTCCTGATTGGCTGCTGCCAAAATAAATGGAGAATAATGATTTTTGTCGGATCCTTCATCAGATTTCAGTGGTCAAGCAAGGACCTTTGTCTCATGCTGCCTCCTGTGTGCAAAAGCGGTCCCCTGCAAACATCCACAAAAACACCTCATTGCCCTTCAAATCCCGCCTAAAAGCTCCCCCCAAAAACCTGCCAGAATTGAGGCATCTGGTGTTTTGAGACCACTACCCATCTTGCTGACACTTACCACCTCTCGTTGTTTCCTTCTGCTCCTGTCTGCCTGTATCTTCCCATTGTTGGTGGTTGTCTTGTTCTTAAATTATCCAGCATAATACAGTGGCAGATGGGAGTCCTGGGCTTTGATCGTTGTCCTAGGTGTTGGATAAATAGAACAGAAAGGTAGTCCCAAGAATCAAACAGTCTAAGCGCCTCAGTTCAGGGACTGCTTTTATATGTACAGCAGGTTTAAAACAAATAAAAGGAAGTTCTTCTTCACACAGCGCACAGTCAACCTGTGGAACTCCTTGCCAGAGGAAGTTGTGAAGGCTAAGACTATAAAAGAGAACTAGATACATTCATGGAGGTGAAGTCCATTAATGGCTATTAGCCAGGATGGGTAAGGAATGGTGTCCCTAGCCTCTGTTTGTCAGAGGGTGGAGATGGACGCCAGGAGAGAGATCGCTTGATCATTACCTGTTTGGTTCACTCCCTCTGGGGCACCTGGCATTGGCCACTGTTGGTAGACAGAGTACTGGGCTGGGTGGACCTTTGATCTGACTCAGTGTGGCCATTCTTATGTTCCCTAGCACACGTGGGCGCTCTCAGTGCTGCCACAGAACAAATCAATGCAGCCTGCTGTTCTCCTTCACTCCAAACACCCATCCCTTTGTCCTGTGCTGGACTGAGCCCCTGCCCAGAGGGTCATTTAAAATCCTCTTCCTTTCCAAATGGTCATTCGTGAGTCAGCAGCAGCCCTGACCCCTCGCATCTTGGGAAAATCAAGACAGGGATGCCACGCTCTTGCTCCTGCATGCCAAAGGCCTGCGAATCAATACCCAGAGCATGCCGGCCCCCGGCCTCTCCTTCTGTTCCCAGCCGCCCCCTCCAGAAGGCACAGCTCCTGTTTACCGATTCGGTTTCATATCGACAACAAAGCCTCTGTATGCAGGCGCTCGCTTTGTCAATGATCCATAGGAGTCCCTGCTGCCCTGGTAGTTAGCAAACACTCACTAATATGCCGATGATGTGCTGAGCTGGTGAAAGTTTCAGCAGAAGCAAATTCTTTGTTGGGGAGATTTTCCAAGCCCCGTATCCAATATGGTCTCTGTTCATTGAATATGGAGTGAGGACCAGGAAGGTCACTGGAGGAAAAACGTGGTGTCTCTGCATGACCGTTCGGCTTGCATTTCCAAAGAGCAGAGTACCCTCTCTCTTTCTGACTTCTCCAGGTTACTAGGGTGCTCAGTGGCTGTGACAATCACACCGACTGACTTCAGCCTTTATTCACTGAGGTATTTAAACGTGTGCCTCACGTTAAGCGCGTCAACAGGATGCAATGTGTGTGCCAAATATTTTGCTGGATTGGTATTTACTTCAACAATGGCTGGTTACAGAATGTCCTAAATAAAGGCGGATGACAATCGGATAAAAACGGAAGAGAAATCAGCTGACAGGGAAGAAGAAAAATTACGACTCGTCTGCAAGGCTGAAATTGACACTTCGGGATTCTTGAGTTCTCTGACAGGAACAAGAGAGTGTGTCGTTAACTCTGGTGCTTTTCTTATCTTGTTTATTTTCTATATTCTCTTGACGCTTTCAGGATGAAATGCAAGAGTGTCTTTGGTACCCTTACGCAGCTTGAAATCGATTTTTAGGAACAAACCCACAACACTACTTTCTGTGGATTTGTTTGAATTTGCTGCTTTCATTCCCTGACTCCATTTTATGCTTCATAGGGTGTTCTGCCCCATGGATACTGCCCCCTCCTTTATTACATGATATCGGTTCTGTAGAACTTTCCGTGTCAAGATCAAAGTCAATTGAAGTGCCAATTTCATCTTCTTATAAAGCCATGTTTACTGTGTTGCATTCCTCTCTTAATAACCCTCCTCTGCCTTTCTTATTTACATGCATGGGAAATACAGCCTCCAGTATCTCCTCATTGGAATACCTCCACATCCTGATTCAGGGAGCTAGAATTCAAGCATGGCAGAATTTATCTTCCGCTGTAAACAATTCTTTTGCAAGTGACAGTGTGAGCACTGCCTATGGGCATTACCAGTGTGTTGGATCATTTTTCCTAGTTTAAAAATACAGTATCGGAATTAGAAATGCGACTTTCCTTTTTATCTTAGTTCATTACAATTAGCCTTTAAATAATCAGTAATTACCCTCCTCTAACCTTTAGTTCTATCTTAGGAGGCAGCAATTATTTGACATTATTTAATCTTAAGTGTCGAGGAAAGTCAGAAAAGTCTCTGTTCTCTGCACACGGGAAGCAATTTATTCTCAAAGGTTTTCTTCTGTGGCCTGAACCCCTTGTGACCTGGTCTGACTGTTTGTACTTAGTTTTAACTGGTGTATTTGCTTGGTCTAAACTTCCTCTGTTCCTGACAACTCCTCTTTGGTGCAGGATCTAGCAGTGGACTGCTCCAGTA